ATAGAATAAAGAGTTAGTTCACTGGCTCTTCAAAGACATATGCCACTTAGCTAATAAAGCAGCTGGTCACAGAGTGTTAATTTGGAAAAGGTGGCATAAGAGAGCTCAAGATGCGTTGTCGAAATTATGGCACTGTCGTTTAGGCCATATTTCGAGGAGGAGAATAGAAAGACAAGTTAAGAATGATATTCTTCCTCCATTAGAGCTCTCAGATTAAGTTCAATGCAGAGAATGCATAAAAGAAAAGTATATAAAGAAGATTAAGAAAGATGACAAATGAAGCGCAAGAATCTTATAGATTATTCACACAGACATCTGTGGTCAGTTTTCTATAAAGAGTGTGGATAGTTATGATTTGTTCATAACATTCACATATGAGTACTCCCATTATGGCTATATTTATCCAATCAAAGAAAGAAAAGATATACTGGATAAATTCAAGATATTAAAGATTAAGATAGTCAGGTCTGACCGTGGGAGAGTACTGCGGTCGGCATACCCTAAAAGAATAGCATAGTAACCCAGTATTCTATACCGAGTGAACCTCAGCAGAATAGAGTAGCTAAAAGAATTAATCGCACCCTGATGGATATGGTGGGCAGTATGATAAGTTACTCCACCTTACAGTTGAGCCTATGGATGGAGGCGTTAAAACTGCCACTTATATTCTCAATAGAGTATCAAGAAAGTCGGTGCCCAAAACACCGTATGAGTTGTGGACAGAAAGAGTACCCTCGCTAAACCACTTCCGTGAATGTGGGGAGCCCTGCTGAGGCTAAAGTGTTTAACCTAAACATTGGAAAGTTATATCCCAAAACAGTAAGTTACCATTTGTTTGGCTACATAGAAAAGTCAAAAGGTTTTTGTTTCTACTGTCCAGAGAGACACACAAAGTTTATGGAAACGAGACACGCTATTTTCCTAGAGGATGAAAAGACGAGGGGGAGCATGGTAGCTCGAGAAATTGACCTTGAAGTGAAGCGAGTGTATGCGCCCACTCCAATGATTCATGAGCCAATTTTCTCACTACATGCTGTCGCTGCACCGACAGTGCAAGATACTATGGTGTCAGCACCTGTTGTTATTCCACCTGTGGCAACAATGAATGAAAATGAGAAACCTGTTCTTCAGGATCCTATAGAACCTATTGCCACACATGAGGGGGAGCAACAACAGCCTCAAACAGTAGATGTGCCAAATGTGGAGGCCCCTAGAAGGTCTCAAAGAGTTAGAAATCAGCTATTTCTGCTGATTATGAAGTGTATAACACTAAGGAATTTTAAATAGAGGATGATCCCACCTCATTTGAAGAAGTCATGAGAAGTGATCATTCATCAAAGTGGCTTGAGGCCATGGAAGATGAAATGAAATCGATGAATGCCTATAGAGTTTGGGATTTGGAAATAATTCCTAAAGGAGCCAATACAGTAGGCTGTAAATGGGTCTACAGAACAAAACTTGACTCTCAAGGGAATATAGAAACATATAAAGCGTGACTTGTGGCAAAAGGCTTTATGCAAAGAGAAGGGATTGATTACAATGAGACATTTTCTCCAGTCTCATGTAAGGATTCCTTCAGAATCATAATGGCATTAGTGGCACATTACGATTTAGAATTACATCAGATGGATGTAAAGACGGCATTTCTCAATGGAGATTTGGAGAAAAATGTTTACATGGCACAACCGAAAGGTTTTGTCATAGAAGGAAAAGAACGAATAGGATGCCGCCTAAAGAAATCCATTTATAGACGGTGGTACTTGAAGTTTGATCAGTCAATAAAGAATTTTGGATTTTAAAGAGAAGGTAGAGGACAATTGTGTCAATACAAAGTTTAAAGAATGGGAAGTTTATCTTCCTTGTCCTGTATATAGATGATATCTTACTTGCTAGTAGTGATGTCAGTCTACTACTGGAGACAAAGAAATTTGATATGAAAGATCTTGGCGAAGCCTCGTTCGTTCTAGGGATCGAGATTCACCGAGATAGAAGAAAAAGGGTATAAGGACTGTCACTAAAGGCATACATGAAAAAGATCTTAAAGAAATTCAGTATACACAAATGTAGTCCCTCACCTGCTCCTATAGTCAAGGGTGACAGATATAGGGATTTTCAATGCCCTAGGAACCAATATGAGCTCAATCGATAAAGTAAAAGTGGTTCCATATGCTTCAGCTGTCGGAAGCTTGCAACATGCTCAAGTATGTACGCGCCCTGACTTGGCATTTGTTACCGGGTTTTACTTGGCAAATTCCAGAGCAATTCTGGAATAGAACACTGAAATTAGTAAAGAAAGTCTTGCATTATTTGCAAGGAACGAAATGCCTCATGATGACATATAGAAGATCTGATTCACTCCACATGGTGGGATATTCAAATTCTGATTATGTGAGAATGAATGCATATCCAGACGTGGATTTTCTATCATCTCGCAAAGAGGAGCTATTTCAAGGAAAAGCTAAAAGCAAACTGTCACTACATCGTCCACAATGTATGACAGTTTGTAGCGTGTTATGAGGCAACGGGCAGGTGAACTAACTAACGAAGTTCATATCCGGTTTGAAGGTGGTTGACGACATCTATAGACCACTAAAGTTATACTGCGATTATAATCTGGCAGTAAAGGATGCTCACAACATAAGTCAAGTGATGCTGCCAAACACATTGACATAGAGTATTATGTTGTGAAAGATAAAGTCCGGGATCAAGTCATAAGTCTTGAGCATATAAGTACAGAAAAGATGCTCGCTGATCCGCTTACAAAAGGCTTACCACCCAACATGTTCAGAGAACATGGTGTTCAGAGAACATGTAGCTAGCATGGGTTTAAGGGAAAGCCTAAAATTCCTGGATAAAAGAAGGTCCAAAGATAAGTATCTATTTCAGAACAGAGTAGTGAGTTGTAGCTGTTAAGTCTATCGGCAATGGACCGTGACGATGAGACATGCTCTATGAGCTAATCTGTAATAGAATGAACAAAAGTAAATGATATGAAAGTGAAAGATGGAATGAGATCAAGGGGGAGAATGTTAGTTGATCTCCATCAATAGGCCCAACGACCTATTGGGCCCTTATCTCTGCTCCCTGATCGGGGAAGCCCAACCCTAATCCGGTTGGTGGGCCCCTGTCGCACAGCACACATAAAAGGAAGGTGGGGGTGAGGGCTCGGACTATGAGGTTCATCGGAGCCGCCACCCACTCAACAGAGAAACCCTAAAACCGATCTAAAGTAGTGCTGGAAGCGACGGGATGTGCCCAACCACCGCCGTCGGCCCACTGCAGGGTCATCACTGGACCGCCGTCTCTCCACCAGCGCCACTGGACTTCACCCCACTGCGCTGGACGCTTTCTACACCGCGGCACCGGTGTCTACGTTGCTGTGCCGCAAAGAGAAACGTCAAGGAGGCTAACCGGATCTACGGTTACACACAGAGGTACACACATCGATCCTAACAAAGCATGCCTATACTAGCATAGCCAGACTGGACTATAACTCACTACTATAGGAACTATTTTCGTCGTCGGTTTCTATAGAACCGGCGGTGATAATGTTTCAGCGCCGGTTCAAAGGCCAGTGGGGCGCTGTGGGTTGGGGAGGAAAACCAGCGATGAATATTGTTTTCAGCGTTGGGTCGGTATATGATCCAGCAGTGAAAATTGTAGTGGTTATCACCGTCGGATCATACACCGACCTGGCGGTGAAAACAATTTTCACTGCCGGTTTTTGGCTCACTACACCACGCACTTACAAACCGGTAGACAAAAGAAGTTTCACTGCCGGTTAGAAGGGTAGACGGAAGTAGTGCAAATTGCTATCACTGCTGACTTACCGGATGATTAGCGGTGATAACCACCGGAGGACATTTGAAGGAATTGGAGGAGACGACAACACTCCAGTCTTTGCAGGCTAGCAACGATCAGATCAGTACCACTTCACCACCTGCCACCATTGGTTTGAGCATGAAGTTCCTTGACATAGACCAATTTTTTTAGCTACATTACTACTCCCTTGCCAACCCCGGTACTTGGGACCAAGCCTATTCTCGTCTACGAAATTGAACAACATAACATGTAGCAACCATGGTTTCATTACAGATCAATCAAGATAGCAAACGCAAGAGTAGTAGTTTAGCAGAAAAAACGAAGAAAAATCCGAGGAAGAACTCAGTGCAACTTGTGCAACAATCGATTGCTAAAAATCTAGGATATTTATCACCTTCGACTGATGCTTCAAAATATAATGAGTTTGATCATCCTGCACAACATTTTGAGCATCTGTTAACCAAACAAAAGATGGAGGCCTTGATGGCCCTGATTGAACATATGGCTGTTCCAAAAAGAAGAAGGTGTCAACACGTTTGAGAGTGGGTAGGGGAGAGAGGGCATGGGACAGGTCCTTCAATTTGTGTCACTTTTCAGCCTACATCTTCGGTACTCGGGTAGTGTCTAGTGTTTTTGGTAGTTCAGTCTGGGTTGCTTCTAACCAGGGGTAGTAGTTTTTTCTAAGTTGGCTATGGGTATGGTCAGATGCTTGTAGTTGTAAATGGTTTGTCTTAGTTGTGGTGGCCCTCAATTGCTTGTGGTAGCGGTTATGGTAATTTCTTCCCTCCCTGTTGTTTTAGTGCAGTTGCTTTTCTTAGTTGAGTGTGCGGGCTCATCGAGCCAAGTAGTTCGGTTTTTTTACCTGGTTTTACCATAAAAACAGGGTACAATATATGCCGCCATGGTCTTGCCACCATTTCGAAAATATATATAAATGGCTTGCAGGAGAAAGAATCCATCCATCGGCCATCGCCAAGCCAATGGTTTGTACATTATTCATAGCTTTTCGTGCTTCAGCTTTATTTATTCTCCATGTACATGTACATATCAACAGCACAGACATAACGCAGCATTATTCAGTGATCGTAGTGGAATCTATCGTTGTCATCAAGCATGACTGCGCGAGCCTCGATCCGGAACCTGTGCTGCCATGCCCCCCTGCTCGGTCGGAGGGGGCCTTACTTCTCACTAGGAAGGAGTATGAGGCTGGCATTTTTTGCCTGCAAAATGAACATCACATCCTTCTTCAGATACCAATGCACGTATATATGCAGCTGATGGCATCAGTTGTTACTTTACAAATTCCATGAGCAAGTTATGTTTGGGATCAATGTGTGGCGAAAGTAATTAAAACTTGCCTCGGCAGGCATGGGTTCGCCCTTCAGGAATTGCTTGAACAAGAAGAACGCCTGCTCCGGACGGTGCAGTGGAACCTCGTGCCCGGCACCGCGGACGGTGACGTAAGTCAGGCCTTCATACTCCATGCTCCAGCCACCAACCTATATTTCATCACAGCTTGTATATTGACCACGGAGGAAAATAAAATTGTATGGATGTCGGTAAGAAACTAAGGATTCAGTGATAGTAGCTTGGTATGTATTTTCTCCTGACCTCATGCAGTACTCACCTCGGTTGAGACTATATACCAGGGGTACCAGCTAGTTTTTACAGGAAGGCCCAGGGCAGCAAGAGAGCGCCTGGTCCCACTCAGCGGCACTGCAGTGTCTGTGTCACCACTGCAAATGAAAAAACATGATGTACTCTGATTTCTGGCATACAAAAATTGGCAAGAAACTCAACTTTGAAGACTTAGAACGAGACTAGCTTGGTGCACTTATGTAGGCAGCAGCTTACTAATTAATTACCTGAAGACCCAGACCTTGAGGCCAGCTCCAATGAGCTCCTTGTAGATGGGTAGCATGGAAGCGGGTGTGTCTGTCCAGTTGTAATACAAGGGATCGCTGCATGTACAAATAACAGTGTGGCTTTCGCTCGTGACAATGAATTCAGTACATAAACAAGTGTGAGAAAACTGAAGCGGAATTTACTCTAAAAAAAAACTGAAGCGGAATGAACACTTGAACATGCATGGGTCAAGTAGCAGAACTCAGAAGTGTACTGGAAAATAAAATTAATACACACCTGCATAAAACCCATGGGTAGTCTATGATACCGCTGACGTTGGCATGCATGGCCGTCTGAACTTGGGGGAGGTTCAGGTACTTGGTCGAGTAGAAGGCGGTGCATGGATCGTATGCCGGCAGCATCAATGGCTGAATTGAATAACCGGCCCGTTAAGATGGACCGTTGTCGTCAGGTTATTAGGTTGACTAATGGCCGGAGATGAAGATGAACGGGAACTTACGCGGCGGCTCCTCCTGAGTCTGCGCGCGTACGGGGTCCCCTTGTCGCACGGCGGCGTGTAGATGCTGTAGCCGTCGATGTTGCCTTGCTCCTCGGCGGCCTTGTCCCAGATCTTCTGGCACTCCGGCTCGATGTGGATGAAGGAGCTCCCCGGGCAAATCTTGAGGCCGCTGTCCAGGGTCTCGTCGGAGATGAGACCGTGGTGCCACCAGAACTCAAACATGCCGATCATGTCAGTGCGGTCGTTGGTCAGACCGTTTCCCACCTGGAATAATTAAAATAATTAATTACTATCTAATTATTGCACTAACCTCCTCCACTGGTAAAAGATATTGAGTTTTTCTTAGGCCAGTATGGGGTTCTATCTTTATTTAATATTGTGACACATCAGCAGATTTAATTAGTTGGTAGGTTAATTATAAAAAAAGATAACGGAAGCACTAGCGTCCAGACGTCCGACGGACCACACCCACAGGTGGGACCCACCCACACCACTCCCCCATGCTTCCCTGCTTCCGGCCCCCCTCCATACCTACTGCGCCGCTCCCCTCCATGTACGGCGCCCCAATAGCTGCAGCAAGCAGCTACGGCTGGTGGCTCACATTGCAACATGCACAACACTACTGATCGACTTTTAAAACATTCAAATAAACACAATTCCAACATACATACGAAACAGTTGAAATATTCAAAATATGCGTCTACAACACAAGTAAAAACGCATGAAAACACCTGAAAACAATTATAAACATATGCAACATCCAGATAAAACACTTGCAACATATGTGCGAAATAGATACAACATCCAGATAAACACACACTTGCAAGATACGTCTAAAAAAACCAATGAAACATTGGGAACAGACACTTGCAACATACGTGTACAATCATTGCAACATATGCAACATCCTGATCTACTTTTGCAACATCCCCATAAAACACTTGAAACATATCTATGAAACATCGGAAACACTTAAAACATGCGCTTGCAACATGGTGGAGCCTAGGGCCGGGCGATTCCAGCCATCGGGGTCGGAGCTGGTGCCTCGCGAGCACCACCATCACCACCGTACCATCGCTAGCAGCACTGGGCTTGGCTCGCCCGGGCGGGCAGTGTGCACGATGGGCGGGAGTGAAACGCGGGACCAGCGCGTGGCAGCAGCGAGGCAGAGTGGGCGCGCGTCGTCCGGACTGGAAGGCCGCGGCTGGATATGGCCACCGCGTTGTAGAAGGACAACGGCGCGGTGGTCACATGCGTGCGGCAGTGGGGAAAGCAAATGTCGCTGTGTTTTTTATTTTTTAGAGAATCCGCGTCGTACTGAATGTGGAGCGGTGGAGGCGTGTTGGGCCCGATCGTTGGGTAGGTCCGGGAACAAGCCGTCCAGACGGAACTTGCCTGGATGGACGCCCGTGTGCCAGCATTATCGAAAAGATAAACAGACCTTCATCTGAATAACGTGAAGTCTCCACCGAAGGCCTATTGATTCTTTTGATAATGCCATAGTTGGGTAAAGTTTCTAAAACATAATAAATCCATTCGTGAAGGCTCTGTCAACATAATTACTGATAGTAAGATACTAAGATGTGCATTTTTTTATTTTTATTAATTTATACATGATGTGCAGGTGTATTTGTCCATTCGGTTCAAATTCTGATATATGAAACGCACTGTGTGAATTCAATGTCTGAGAATGCGCATCTATACCGTACCATGAAACCCTTGAAGCTAATGGAAGGCCTCTGTACGCCGATGTTGTTCCTGTACACGAGCTGGGAGAGCTGAGGAACATAGTGACCTGCGCATCAAAATACTTCACGAATTAATGCATATATAACACTGTGCCCATATAGAAATTAATTAAATTCCGAACAAAAAAAAACAAATCTCCCTCGTCAAAACAAGGATCGTACTACATTAACAAAAGTACTACTAAATCCGTTCTAAGTTATATTTCGTTTGACTTTTTTTTACTCAAAGTTTGATCACTCGTCTTATTCAAAAATTTATGTTAAATATCACTTCTTTTGGTGTAGCTTACTTTATTAATAAAAGTTCTTCGAGAATGACTTAAATTTGACTATGTTTGCATAAATTTTTTGAATAAGACGAGTCGTCAAATTTGAAGTCAAAAAAGTCATATGAACTGTAATTTGGAATGGAGGGAGCACGTACTGACCTCCATAGCTCTCTCCAGCAATGTAGAAATCGCGGTACCGGTACTTTGGGAACCTCTCGAACCATTTCACCAGGAACGTGTACGCATCATGGGCTGCAAATAACAAAAATTCATAAATCAGAGAATCAGACTGAAGAAGGGTGTTATTTCCCATATATGTTCTTCATCACCAACCCGTTCTGTTGTCGCCAACGATTAGGTCGGAGCTGGTGTTGCTGTAAGAGAACCCCACGCCGGCCGGCGACTCCAAGAACAGCACGTTGGCCGCTGCATGCCTTTCACATGTGAGCTACACTTCACTGCACAGCACATCTCGGTTGGTCTGTGAGTTGTATGTGACCCATCATCAATTTCATACCTCTGTTCCAAGCGAACTCGTTGCGCAACAGCCGCTCGCCGTCTGTGTGGACGCGGAAGGCGCCGAGCTCCTCGAGCGCGCCGCCGCCGATGGAGGAGCACCCAGGCCCGCCGTTGAGCCAGAGGAGGAGCGGCGCGGCGTCCGGGTCCTCGACCTCGGTGCGGTCGGCCTCTTGGAACCAGTAATAGAGCGCGCGCGCCGGCCTGCTCGTCGACGGTGATGTAGCCCCGTACATGTCGAACGGCACGTCGTCGTTGGGCAGCCCCGGCAGCCCCGGATCAGGTCGTCCTCACGCTGCTGGTCATGCTCCTCGGAGGACCCTCGCGCCAGCGCCGGTAGGAGGAGGAGGCTGCCGGCGGCTAGTGCCAGTAGGAGCGTTGTCGTCGCGGCGTGCCATGGAGAGGATGAGTTGTACTGGCCGGAGGAGCTGCTGATGGCCATGTTTGCTCTCTTCTTATTTCTGACCTCGACTGGCTAGCTTAGTGCATTGAGAAGGAAACAGGCCAAGGTTCACTTATATATATACACAGGGGAGAGGGCCGGCGAGAGATAAGGCTGACTGATCAACGCGCGCGTGTGGCATGCGTGAATTGTCTACGTACGACGTTAGTTTTTATATTACATGTAGAAAAAAGGTACATAGTGGTATATGGTCTTTTGGTATGGTATATGACGGTATGAAATATTTTGAGCCGTGCCAGCACATACGGCATGAACAACATGAGGGCCATGTCGTGTCTAAGATCATGGTACAACGGGAGGCATGACCCAACATGTATTTTGGGCTATACTTGGATCGGTACGATACAAAAATGATACGTGGACACATCTACATTATACAATATGATTTTTTATTATTTATTGTATTACTTCCTCCGTCCACAAAAGAATGCAATTCTCGCTTTTCGAAAAGTCAAACAGTTTGAACTTTGACTAAATTTATATAAAAAAAATACTAACATTCATGATACAAAATAAGTATCATTAAATTCGTTATAGGATATATTTTCATAATAAATTTATTTGGAGACATAAACATTAACACTATTTACTATAAATTTAGTCAAACTTGAACTAGTTTGACCGGCATAAATCCCATAGTTGCATTCTTTCCTGGACGGAGTGAGTACCTTCTTTCATCTAATAATAATTCTTCAGTGGATTATGAAAATTATTGAATTTTTCATCAAAACGGTACATATAAAATATATATTTTTATTTTTTTTCTTGTATGTCACGGGTGAATAAAGAAAACTAGAAAAGGTATTTTCTGGGCTGTGTACTTAGATCGCCACGTCATGAAAGACGTGCTAGTGTGTCACCTACCGTGCTTAGGCCGTAACAAAGACTTGCCTGCTATGATCTAAAGCGATGTTAACAAAAGATAATTTACTGAAAAGGGGATGGAAAGGAGACTCTAAGTGCAAATTTTGTGGCTTAGAAGAGCATCTTTTCTTTGATTGCCGTATGGCTAAGTTCTTATAGAATTCTCTACTCATTGCTTTCAATGTTCAACCACCAAGAAATACAGCTCACTTATTTGGCCCCTGGATGAGGAGTTTTGCTCCTAGGCTAAGAGATCAAGTTATAGTGGGAATAGGTGCGATGTGTTGGGTCTTGTGGTTGAACAAATGACGTGGTGTTCCAAAGAACAAAGACTAACTCCTGCGCGCTTGTAGGTCATCTTCAGGGGAACTTATTGGATCAGACAATGGTCTCTGTTGTCTAAAGAGGAAGCGAGAGGTTTGTTGAAAGAAGGATTCCAGAAGCTGGAAGTGATGGTGATGCAATTTTTTGGAGGCCATGCTTGGAGAAACCAGAGGAGGATAGAAGAATAGCTTCCTAGGGCTTCTTTTTGGTTTGTTGCTTCCTTTGTTGAAAATGGTTTGAACTTTGGGTTCTTTCATGTCCCTCTAGCGGAACTTGGTCTAAGTACCTGTTATCTTGTATTGGTGACCATAAGCATTCACTTGTGAATGTGAAGGCCAGAATATTTTTATTCCTTAATCTAAAAATGATCTAAAGCGATGTGAAGCAGCACGAGAGTGCTATTGCTGTGCCGGAAAGGAGGTATAGTAGCTATGGGTAAACTGTCTGTCTGTCTCTCGTACCAACTGCATCGACAAACGGCTTATAGATGTTGCCACCGCTTTTTGGCCTGGGACGTACGTCTGGTCCTCACCGTACCATCAGTTTGGATGCAAAGTATTTTTATGTATTGGAGAAATACTACGGCATTACAAAATAAATACTTTGGTTTTAAAAAGCTATTGGGTGTTTGGATGTAACAAATCTTGTAGTCTCTAAAACCGTGATTTTGTTAAGATCAGTAGTCTTTTGGAGTTTTAAAAACTCCATTCATGACTTTTTTACTAAACCATGGTTTTATGTCTCTTTGGCTTATAAAACCATAATTTTGTGGTACTACAGTTTTAAAAACTGCATCATCCAAACATGCGCCTACAGTTACACGTGAAACGCATGGCTGCTTTTTTTTTAGCAAAGGCCGCTTGTACCAGCGGCCGCGGAGCACATGGATCACGACGGCCCTGCTCCTGCTTTGTACCACCCCTACCTAAATGGTCACGTACCAGCTGCATCGAGAAACGGCCTATAAATGCTGCCACCGGTTTTGGCCCGGAGGTAGGTCGTACATGATGGGCTCGTGGTCCTCTGGCCCTCCTCGCCATCTTACAGTTACAGGTCAAATTCATGGCCCATGGCCACTTGTACCAAGCGGCCGCGGAGCATATGGATCACGACGGCCCCTCGGTTCCTTGGACCTTGGTTTCAAATGTGTGCATCTCAAACTTCAAAAAAATAAGGAAAAAAGTGTGCATCTCTTGCGGTCGTGGGTCACGTGTTGGCCAGATAATGTTTTGCCTGGTTTCATACCCATCCGGCTCCTCAGAATGTGCTTGCCTACTTCTAAGGTTTATGGATACAATACAAGATATAAAAAAATGAAGATATTAAAGAGAGGATTGAATTAAATTGGATTTGTCCTATTACTTTATAGTAGGTCAAAATGTATCATACCATATTCAAGTTGTAGATGTTTTAACAAGGTTTCCAAGTTCCAACCGACTCGGTGAGCAGTGGGTGAGGTTGGTTGGAGACGGCGGCTGGCAGTTTCTTTCGGCGTGAGACAGGCGAGGCTTAGGGTCGCCATGGCCAGCATGGCCGGTGGCTTGGCTGGTGCGGCCGGCGTTAGCCATGGTCGGTTGGGCGAAAGCATACCTTGAGCGTCACGCAGGACGGGTGAGCGCGGTGGCGACGAGAAAAAAAACATGAACGGATCGTTATTTTCTTGTGTAATTAGTGGCATCAAGATAATTTTGGCCAACTCGAGAATCCATGTGCGTGCTTTCGGCCGCCACCTTGGGCCACCGAGGTCATTGTGTGTGCTAAGCGCCCGATGATGCCGACAGCACCGCCGGCAAGTCAAGGAGGCGCCGGGCCCTAGCGTGAAACCCTCAAGACTCGCCTCCTGCTATGGTTGCGGCGCCACTGCGCAGACGGTGGTGGAGGCCACTTGAGGATATGTCGCTTATTGCAAGTGTATGTGTTTATTAAGTGTTTCGAGGTATGTTGTAAGTGTTTCGTATGGATGTTGCAAAAGTAGATCCGGATGTCGCATATGTTACCATGGCTATACATGTATGTTGCAAGCGTCTATTCCAAATGTTTCATCTGTTTTCAGTCGTATGTTGCAAACGTTTTATCTGGATGTTGCATATGTTTCGCATATATGTTGCAAGTATTTTATCTTGATGTTGCATATGTTCGTGATGGCTTTCAAGAGTTTTCAGCTATTTCGCAAGTGCTTCAGACATATGTTACAAGTGTTTCACCTATTTCGGACGCATGTTACAGGTGTTTTATCTGGACGTTGCAAAAGTAGATGTTGGTGTTGCACATGTTGCAACAGTACTGACCTGCTACAGTTGCTGGGGCGCCTCTGAGCAGGCGTAGACAGTCCCGCGTGCATGCGTGTGGGAAGCGGAGGGGGCGCGAGCGGTCCCCTCGTTCGGTTGGGCGGCGTAGGCCCCCGCATGGCCACGCGAGACGTAGCATGCATGGAAAACAGGTGCAGACGCGGGAAACGGGGTGCAGGCACAAGCGCAGGCATCTATCTAGACGTTCGGGCGCTAGCAATCCCGTTCTCTTTTTCTTTTGTCCGAAAATAAGAGGCTTGTGTCTTTTTTTGAGTGTCTAGTTATTTATCGATAGATTTTTTTATAAATACGATCCAATAGACAGTTGTAGCACGAATTCTAACGCACAATAAAACGTATAGAAATCCGACAGATTTAGTGTAAAAAAAATCTATCAACAGATAAATAGCAAAAGTCTTTTTTTTCTCATTTACTAGCGCACGTAAGTATATATCTTCTTATTATAAATTTATAATGCTCAAAGAGAGACTCAGTCCTCACCGACGATCGTATATGCCCTCTCGTACCAGCTGCCACGGAGAAAGAGAAACTACCAGGAAATTAAAAGCTGTCACCACTCTGGGCCAGGATACCGATCCCCAGCACCATCGTTGCCAGTCGCCACTACAATTCGCCACACCGGAAGGGGCAGCTCGACCTAGCTATCTATGCGCATCACTATCGTCGTCGTCATGGCACTACCTCAAATTTGCACATCATTGCCAGTATCATCACTGCCAGATTTGTGAGAACCGATAGTGATGTACTTTCACTGCCGGTTATGAGCTTGAAAATAAAAAAAATCATTGGGGCTGGGCTAAAATCGACAGTGAAAGACTACATCACTGCCGGTTTGTGGTTTGAACCGGCTGTGTTTTGGTGGGCACTCATCACTGCCGGTTCAAGCCACAAACCGGCAGTGATTGTGCTCTATCAATGTCGGTTCTAGCCAAGAGCCGATGGTGATAAGCCTACAGCATAAAAAGGCTGCAGCCGTCCTCTTCTTCCTTCCCTCTTCCATCCCGAGAACAGAGGCGCGCTTTTGGGCCTTTCCCTCTATTGTTGCGGCTGCTCTTCACCATGAAGCTAGTGCTTGGATTTTGAAGAATAGCTTGATTTTTTTCTTTAAGGTTAGTAACAAACATCCACTCCTTTGATTTTGTTGCTTAATTAGCTTCGTTTTGATGGCTACATTGTTTGATTCTCATTCTAGTTCTTTCTCCATTCTAGAGAGCACTTTTTCAATTGAACATTTGTACAAGGCTCAAATTGTGGTGAATCCATCGTCTAAAAGGTT